GGAATTTGGATATCCTTGGGGGTTCCCACAACCAGTCCCCCACTGATACAGAGGGACGACTATACTGGGTGCTTTGGGGGCATTGCTGAGTGCTATTGATACAGCATTCACCCACTCAGGTCTGGTCAGGGATCACCCATTCTTTAGGCCTGGGTGAGCTCAGAAATCAGATCCCCATCTCTAAGCACAAATAGGCTGCCCTTTCCAGGCCACACCCTCTGGGCTCTAGCAAGGTCCTGAACAAAGCAGCCTGAAAGGTTCTGGGTGGTTCCTCTTTGAGTAGAGAGCACACACCCTAATCCTCACCACCCACAGCATTTCTGTGCTAATTTTAGGATTATTTTGTGCCCAAAGACCTCCAGTCGATTGTGATACACTTTCCCCAGCCCCCTCCCCCCCACCCACACACAGGACACTAAAAACAGCATTTAAACCCCTTAGACTGAAGTCTGGTGGGTGGGTGAGGGGGGGCTACCATTTAAATTCTCCCCTCCGCTGCAGGAGGTTCTTTCCCCTTCTTGCATTCATAATCTTTTGCTTATCATGCTTATCAATATTTCTCACTGTCAAAAAACTATTCTGTGGCTTATCCGTGTGGTCTGTGGTTTCATTCTTTGAACCCAGAGACCAAGGACTTGGCATACAGAAATTCCGGCAGCAATATGATTTTATGCCTATATTCTACTGGAACCAGTTACTAGACATGAAATCTTACTCCTCATTTCCAATGCCAGAACTATACAAATCAATTGAGGATGCTTTGATAAGAAAGATTTTAAATATATGGACATACTCACATATAAAAAGAGCATTTGAGAAGGTTTATGCTGATATGTGGGGAAACGTCTCTGGATCCAGAAAAGTGGGAGAAGAGGAAAGAATGAGGAGAAGACTTGGGTAGGAGCAGTTGTATCTCAGAAACTTGGGGCTATGACCTGTCGACATGTCTCTCTTATTGAAAAAATAATAAAGAGACAAGGTAAAAGTGGCCCACTCATGCCCTGCGGAGTGAGCCATGAAACTCATCTAGCAGGGTCCTCATACATTGAAGGAAAATATTAAATATTTCTACTTTTATCTTGCAAGAAAAAAAAAGGTGTTCTCATTTAAATGACCATAAATGCTTTAAAACGCTGGACTCATTATCTTCTTGGATTATTAAAGTTCAGGTAAAATTCTAAAAGAAAAAATAACTAGAAAATTGTCATGGGCTTTAAAGGCCTTTTTGAAGGATTCTTTAACAGCCAGCTAAGGAAGAGTTTTTAAGGATCTTGTCTGTGATCCAGGATTCCCAATCCAGAGACAATGGACCCCATGGGATAGAGCCCGAAGGTGTCATCAAGAGTAACTGGAACAAGGCTGTTGACAGCTCTGATGACATGAATGTCTTGGAGTCCTTCCTCCATGGTATCTGTGCCTATGGTTTTGAGAAGCCCTCTGCCATCCAGCAGTAGGCTATTCTTCCTCATATCAAGGGTTATGATGTGATTTCTCATCCTCAAACTGGGACTGGGGAAACCGCCATATTTTCTATATCAACTTTGTAGCAGATTGAATTGGATCGAAAGGCCTCTCAGGCCTCAGACCTAGCACTCACCCAAGAATTAGCTCAGCAAATACAGAAGGTAGTCATGGCATTAGGAGACTACATGAGTGCCTCCTGTCATGCCTGCACTGGGGGCACCAACGTGCAGGTGAAGGTGAAGAAACCGCAGATGGAAGCTCCCTATATCATTGTGGGCACCCCAGGCCTAGCGTTGATATGCTTAACTAGAGATACCTGTCTCCCAAATACATGTCCCAGCCAGGGTTCAACCTTCGGAGGTTGAGGAGAGCAGGAAGGGAAAGGGAAGGGACCCAAGGGTTGGACATCTTGTCACTTTTTTTCTTTGAATAAATGTCACTTTTTGAGACAAAAGAAGAAACTATAAACAATTTAGACACCCTTTTAATTGGGGTAGGCTCTTGCCCCCGGTGCCATCTCTTCTTTGAAAAGTCACTAATCTAGGCTTGGCATCTGTGGCTCAAGTGGCTAAGGCACCAGCCACATACACCTAAAGTGGCGGGTTCGAATCCAGCCTGGGCCCGCCAAACAACAATGACGGCTGCAACCAAAAAATAGCCAGGCATTGTGGCGGGCACCTGTGGTCCCAGCTACTTGGGAGGCAGAGGCCCAGGAGCTGGAGGTTGCTGTGAGCTGTGATGCTATGGCACTCTACCCAGGGGGATAGCTTGAGGCTCTGTATAAAAAAAAAAAAAAAAGAAAAGTCACTAACCCTTTTCCCTAACCTCCAGATCCTGGAAGCTGTCCCCAACCCAGCAGTATTCCTTTGAAAATGATTCAAGAGGCTGTATATTTTATCCAACCTCACTTGCTAGACCAAATAAGGAAGCAGAACCCCTGAAATCCCCAAGCAAGGTTGCCCAAGGGATTATCCCTAAGTGAAGCAAGCAGGGGAAATAAAATAATAGCCATTTTTTACATTGTTTTGTATGGGTCTATTGACTCAGGACACAGACACACAATTTGTAATAAAATGATTTGGAAACTCCCACCCTCCACCCACCAAAACTTAAACAGATGCAGAAAGAAAAGCTTCATTTCCTACAGAAGAAGAGTAAAATAAGTGAACACACATTTCTATATGTTTTCTAGATGTTGGCATATTTCTTTATAAACAAGTAGATAGTATTTCTAAGCCTAAAAAGTGTATCACATGGACATCTTGTTCTTTTCACTAATAAAAATTGAGAATGGTCCTTGCTTCCCATAATCAGTCTGCCAAGCCAGCTCTTCCCTCTCAGTACCCACACATGCCATCCAGAGGCCTGGGAACCAACCAGCCCATTTACTATCATTGACTTCTCCTGGGGTCCCAATGTCCCCTATCCTGACATAACTACCAGGGCTGGAACCCAACCATATATGCTGCCTGCAGGCCTGGGACTGGCCTGGAGCCCAATGGTAGAGCCCATTGTAGCTAGTGTCAATGCTGGCATGGATTACCTGGGAGCAAGAGGTTTGTCCTGCCACTACTATTACTATAGCCCACACCACACCACTGCCTATCTGCCTGGCCCATGGCTGCCATTACCAGTACCTGAGCAAGTTGCCTGGTGGCCCAAGAATAAGCCCAATTGGACTGGCTAACACCACTGCCAGTGTTTGTCAACTTGGGGTCCAAGGACAAGTATACTTAGTCTGCTGCTGCCTCCACTGGCGTCCAAGAACTGGCTCACATGCTGTTCTAGTCCTAAGGAATTCTTCACCACAAGCCTCCACTAACAACCACACCCTAAGTCACACCACTGACACTATTTATAGCTAAAGAAAACTTACAGAGACTATGCTACTTCATGTACCCCAAATCAAAGCCAAAGTACACTATCTAAAAAACACCATAGATATAGCTTCAGGAAAAAGTTTCCCCTATGAAAACAAATTCAAAAAATGGAAAGTTTTGAATT